CAGAGTAAATTAGCGCTGTGGAGGGTCTGCAACATCAGGACAAGCAGGAGGTGGGAGGTGGCGGGGGAAGAAACAGGCTTGCCAGGAGAAGTTGAGGGGTGCCAGGTAATGTCAGGAGAGGGACCTCTCTGAAAGACGCCTTCCTTGCCAGGGCTCTAAATTCTTGCTGCTTATCTTCACTCACATCTTCTCCCAATTACTGCCACTGCTCCCAGGAGGACCCAGTGGTTAACACATTTCCAGGCACTCGGCTGCCCTGCACATGCTTGGAGACAACAGGCTTCTACCTCCAGCTGTTTTCTCGTAATAAGGGGTTGGGGCTTTCTCAGAAACTGGGGGAGAGCAAAATTCAACTGACATTGAGAAATAAATGCACGCAGCCCATCTTCCTGCTCCCTGCCACTCGTGGGGAGGCACCAGCCATAGGCAGTAGTCTATGTCCAGTTCTCCCGTAACAGTGTAGACACGGCTCTTTCACCAGCACGGCCTGCATCAGAGACCACGGAGCAACCAGGCCTCCTCTGCCTCCAAGCCTCGCTGCTGTAGCAGCAACTCACAGGCGAGTGGGGCCTCGGCACGACAAACGAGACTAGCAAAAAGCTTCGCTCTCTCTGTCGTTTCCTAAAGAACTGCATGGGAAGGGGATCTCTAAATTGCAGCCAGTTTGACAAGACGGCAGATAAGGGGGAAGGTCTCTTCTTCCTTGTGTTAAAGAGCTACAGATATCCGAGGAGACTCTTGCTTAGTGTGGGGCTAAGCCTTTAACTCATTACTCAACCCAGCTTTGTGGACTGGTACCTCGATCCCGCCTGCCCCTGCCAGCGCCGTACTTACAGGCAAAGTACTGCCAGGGCTCATAGGTGAGGCCGAAGTCAGTAGAGCGCTCCAGCACCCAAAGATCTGGTCGAGGGGAGTTGGCAAACTTGATGAGGACGTATGCGACGTGGAACAGCTGGAAGAGAGGGACGCCTGGTTAGCTTGGTGCAGAGGAAGCCCTCCGTGATACAACGGTTGTAAAGGGTCACCCCCCTTGTAAACACAGGCTGATGCAGTTCTCTGCTCCCACGTGGATCACCGCGCGCTGTGGACGTGGGGCAGGGCCCTGGCCACGGCAGGACAGTCTCACCATAGGAGAGGTCAGAACCTGCTATATTCGCTATCAGCCTCGGGGCGGCATCTGTCCAACAGGATGGGGCTGAATGGCCGCACCCCGTGGGCCGCGTGCTCAGGTCAGCCGAATTCACCCCCGTAACCAGCAGAGGAACAGGCAAAGCCTAGGGGCACAGGGTGCAATGCAGCGCCACGGAGACACCCGACCAACTGCAGCGATGCTGTCACAGGCTGCAAGCAAACATCAGCCTGGTCCTTTTGGCTGCCGCTTGGACACAGTCAATGTCACACAGCCCTTCCCTTAAGATTCCTGCCCGTTTGCAGCACTGCACCCGACCCATCTTAGTGGCAAGTGGTTGCAATACAAAGCCCGCAACAGCTCTTCTTGCAGCTGTAGGAGGCCTGAGAGACAGGGCAGAGAAGCCCCATCCTGTTTCAGCTTGGCTGTTACACTGGGCTACTCCCAATTAGTCCGGACACTGATTTATTCAGCAACATCCTTGCCAAGAATGGATAAATGCGCTCTTTAGACAGCTAAAATGTCAGCGCTAGAAAGAAACAAAAGCTACAGCAGAAATTCCCTTCCCCAGCTGGCACCAGCTCTTACAAGAACCCCCACTCCATCATCCTGTCAGAAAGTGGTATTTCCAAGCAGATGAAGTCCTCTTATCAGGGGAAATTCCTCACGTCAAAACCATCGCAAAGGGTAGAGATGTGGATCTGCAGCTCCTAGCACGGAGCTGGGTAGCCCGGGGATCCAGCCTGGCTGAGAAAGAGCCTCTCCAGGAGCCCAAGTCTCAGCTCAGACCCCCAGCAGTGCATCCATAATGGTCACCTGTGCAGTGACCTTCCAGGTTAAAATCTCACCCCCACACTAACCGTGCAGCACTCAGCTGACAATTATTAGACAGGAAAGCCTTTGAAAACAGGAAGTTTCCCGAGGGAGAACCAAAGTGAGCGTGGATGGATTTCATTGCCTCTTTCCTGGCAAGCTGCTTGCAGGACCAGGAGGCATGTTGGTCAGTCTAACAGGGTGAACATGGGGGTGGAAAAGACCAGGGAGGCAGAGCTGGGCTCTCCCCTGCCTCCTTCCCAAAGCTGGGGCCTCACCTAAGGCTCCACATCAATTAAACAGGGCGTCCGAGAGACGCTCTTCCCCGCTCACAGCAGTGATCCGATTACCCTAGATCTGAGAGCAGGTGGGCACTGCAGTGCCTGACCTGCTGTCTGCAGAGGCACTGGCCCCTGCCTGGGCCTGGCGGACTACTGGGAAGGGCGAGAGGATAATCCAGTCGGCCCTTGACTGCCCTTGGTATCCCTGGTGGGATTGCAAACGGTTAGTTTTAACTGCAGTTTGGAGGAGGAGGAGGAAACCAGCTTGCCATGAACCGGACTGAGAGCACTCCTTCCTTTCCCCTGCGCGGGGTTCAAGCACGCAGAAACACTTCATCCAGAGCCTCAGCTGGGTGCACAGTCATGGCGCTGTCAAAGTCAATGGAGCCAGCACAACTGCTCCAGCTGATGATGCATCCACACAGCAGTGAGACGTGACTGCGGCACAGCTAGACACAACCCAGAAAGCTTCAATCTAGCTAAGGCAGCGGGAAAGCTACCATGTCCTGGACTTTGGAGCCTGCCTAGGACCCTAGAGACCTACTCAGACCAGTCGTCCTTGGCTTCAAGGCTGCCGGCACCTGAGCCAGCTCAGGGATGCTGTTGCGTCTATGCACGCACCTCCCAAGCAGCGTGCAGGCACTGCCCATCTCCCAAACAACCCCCGCGGACCATGCAACAGACTGCACATTTGCTCTTTACAACCACCACCCTTCTAGTTCTCTCTACGGCCCAACTAAAACAGAGGGGCCGGGAGAGAATAAACGAAACCCCAGCTGCAGCCCCGATGAGCTGAGGTGAAGGCACGGCCACCCAGGGCGGCTGCACATTCCTGTTGCCGGAGACCAAAGCAAAGGGACAAAACATGCTCTTCAAATGGCTACCACCTCCAGAACCCTTGTTTTTAATCCAGCTCTTGGAGGGGCAGCTTTTCTGCTCACCAGCTCCTGGAACAAGCTGTGGTACATTAGTAATGCCCCAGAAGCCAGATTCGCTGTCAGCTGTTTCCCCTCCGGGATCGGTTCTCACAGGTCTACATCTGCCTCTTGGCACAGAGTACCAGCCAGGGAAGTCATGCATTCCCCTCTGCTATAAACCTTTCTCCAAGATTCATTCTCCGTGGGATGCATTCACTTTCCTGCAGGGCTGGCGCTCGGCTTGACAAGATGGGTGATGGTTGAGGGATCAGAAGGCATGCTGGGCTCAGGCAGCAGGACACCTGATGTGATGCTCACAAAGGCTGAAAGAAGGGGGGGATCTGCACTGTGGTGACCAGCAATGTCCCTGCATGTGGAAAAGGCAAAGCCTGAGAAACAGGAGGTCTAACCCCAGTGTCGACGCTGACTCTCACTCGAGCTTGGCAGATCATGATGGGGCTGATTTCCAGAGCTGCTGAGCACTCGCAGTTCGAACTGAAGTCAGAGAGACCTGCAGGTGCTCACTGCCTCAGAAAACAAGACCCTCCGATTTGCCATGCCTCAGTCTCCCCATCTGTATAATGGGGATTATATTCACCACGAGGGACTGGCATTTCCTTCTATGTGACCACAGCACCCAGGAACCCCAGTCCTGGCTGAGTTTTACTGCACTGGGAATTGCTAGCTTTTAAGTTTTGCACGGAGGCCTCCGGCAAACCTCACCCTGGAGCCCTACTCTATACCAGTATTATAGGTATTTCCTGAGAAGGTAACCAGCTTTGTACTTTCAGGCAACAAACCCCAGCGAGCAGCTCTCTGTAGCACTCAGGACTCTACGTGCACTCCAGGAAAGCCACACTTTTAATTGCAAGATGAAACGCAGCCTTGATTCAAAACCCCTGCTTGCCCCTTATTCTGGAGTAATGGCTCAGCCATTCTCCTTCTTCCGGACTGTACGGGTTACAGCGCAGTCGAATCACCCCATGTGTGACAACAGGGCTTGATGCAAATGCATCGCAGCCCGGTGCACAACTAAAGGTGGAGCTTGGCAGGTTTTAAAGTGAAAAGCAGCCAGAGCATTGATGCTGCTGGCTGCTACCTTTGCTGCTAGTACTTTAGTACGTCACACTGCGGGCCTGTGATCCTTAAATTACCTCTGACCCCCAGGTAGGAAATGGGTTTATTCATTTCAGGACTTGTAAAACCATCAGAGTAGTAACATGTCGCCATGTGCGCACACGGCTCTATTTCTCTTCTCTGCAGAGACGCACTTCAGAGAGCAGTGCCCACACGGCTGGGAAATGTTCGCACGTGCCAGCAAAAAGCCCACCCACGTGTGGAGGGTAGGACTGTAGAGAGCTCATGTCTGTCAGGAGGAATTTGCTCCTAGAGATTTTGTGATACTTTTGCATAAAAAAAAAAAAAAAGCCAAGACCAAGGTCCTAATGAGATCACCTGGCAAGTTTTGGGGGAGCTGTGATTTCCTGGCTAGATCGCAGTTCAGGCATGTACATCTTACCTAAGGACCTCTTGAGTTTGCATAGAAAATCATAGAAGAGTAAGGCTCAGATGGGATCTCCAGGGGTCATCTAGTTCAACCCCCTTTTCCAAAGGGCACATTATAGGTTCATTCCCCTCCCCTAAGCCCGTGCTACTGTGCTCTGTTGAACAACTGCTGTGTCCCCCCTAGAAGCATCTGCGCAGTTAAGAGGCTTAGTCTGCATCTCGCAACCATTATTCCTGCATTATCACATCACACGCTCACTGGGGCTTTTTTAAGTATTGTCACCAGAAGGGCTCTACATCTGCTAAGCGGTGCAGCATACAGAGGACACTCTTGTCCACACCATGGAAAAGGAACAGGAGTCCATGCTCGTAGCAAACCCACCTTCACAGCCACATCCTGGCAGGTTAACAGAGCATTTTGTTAAAGATGCCGACTCTCCCTCTGGTCTTTTTGGAGGTGTCAGCCTGCCAGAAAGAATCCAGGCAGAAGGCTTGTATCGCGTGCGCATGTGGAGAAAACCCCACCGCGCATTCACGATCCAAAAATAGAGCGCAAGCTGGCAAGAAAGCCAGACTTTTCATTCCATATTTAGTCCATTTTTTGCCCAACCAATATAGCAAAAGAAACACAGTCATGTTTTTCCAGAGTCTTTATTTAGCTCGTACTATCATTGGGATGAATAAAAACCTCTATACTTCTTGAGCCAAGGTTTTTTTCCCCTCGGCAGAAAAGCGGGTGGGACTTGCCAAGTGTCACATTTAGCGCATGTGCTCCTGGCCCAACCACCAGCCCCTCCTTGTTGGCTCGTTTCTGGGAGCAAGGCAGGGAATGAGCCAACCCCGTAGTGGCAGCCTGGGTTACACTGAACAAAGATGGGGTCAAAGCCTGCACAAGGGACTCGGTCCAAAGGGAGCTCAGAAAGCCCCGGTCTCTCAAAGGAGAGGGGAGCTGTCTGTGCATGTCAGTGGTGGGGTCAAAAGAAAAGAGAAGCAAAACTGCTGCAACACAAGAGCAACATGCCACTGCTCACAGGTCTTGCCACCTGGGAAGCCAGTCTCATCCCAGGATGTCTAAAAGAACTGGAGAGGGTCTAGGACCATATCACAGGAACAAGGAAGGAGGCCTATGGGGCTGAAGTAAGGACAAGCAACCTAAAGCTGGAGACCGTGGACTTGGAGAAGTCCCCCGAGGTGTCCATATCACGCCATTACTATAACTTGGCCAACGTGATACAGTGGCATTTGCTCTGTGAAGGCTGAATTTATAGGCAGAGGATGAAGCCTGAGCAAGAGCAGCACCTGGATG